GCAGCTGCTGAGTCCTCTGTTTCTCAACAGGGGACTTCTGTTTCAGCAGGGTTTGTTCAAATATTCAGGGCTGCCATGATTAGTCGGTATGTTGAGAAACGGAACATGGATGTCGCGTTGGAATTGTTTTTTCCGTATGAAGCAGCTGGTGAAAAACCAGATTTGGTCACAGTGCTGTCATTGACCTCAGGTTTTGGCCACAGTGGTAAACTCAATTAGAAAACAGCAACAAAAAATGTTAAAATAAACATTAAGTAGATCTTTATTTGCATACAGAAATTATACAGTAGCTAGCTAGAATTCTAGTTCTCAAAAGCCCTCTTATTGCTGGACAAAGAAATTATATTCAGTAGAATGCAAGTTCTGACATGCATGACCGAGGACAGTATCAGAAATTACACAGGCCACATTAATATTTTTCCAGACAACAAGTAGGAACAGCCACAAGATTATTTGCTCTAGGAATCAATGCAATGCCAAGAACGAGCTTCAACACAATGAGTGCCAGTTGGATTCCAAAAAACCTTCCCGAAAAACTTATCAGGATCTCTTCCGATCGCGCATACATTTATAAAAACAAGTGAATTTTTGGGTATGTGATAGCCGTTTACATAAAAATTTTCCACGGATCTGTGGGGAACATATTGAGATGTGTTATTGCTCAAAATAGCTCAAAAGGGGTCCATAAAATTTGCCAATTAAGTTTGGTCCAAAATTTTCAAATAGCTAAAAGTGAGTAACTATCATTTGAATTGCCCTCGAAAACAATGAGTAACTCACAAATGATCGATGCCCACATCATAAAATCCCCCTTTTGGCCTGAAACCAAGGTGGCTGATATGTATCTAAAAAGTGATGATATAACGACGCGTTTGATGAAATCCCTGAAAATCATGGCGCGTCCTGGAAAGCTATGCTTTTGGTTTTAGGCTTTTTAATTTAATTGATGTACAAGAAACAAGCAAAATCAGATCGGAAAGAAAATTAAGATAATATTAGTATCCATCTAGTGATCTAGGAAAAGGAGTCTTATAGATAGGAACGTATTGGAACAACACTTATCATTACAAGTTCGTATGGTTCAAGCTACCAAAACCTAATCTGAACGTTCTCCACTTGTAAGTTCTTCATCCCTTTTATTCTTTTGCTTTCCTTCTTTGTTTTTACGTTCTTTCTCTTTTAGAACCCAATAAATAAACAGAAATGTTTCTGTAACAATTTCGTAAGGTTCGAGCTACCAAAACCTAATCTGAACCAAAGTTCTCTTCAGGTTAATTCGAATTCCAGTGACTGAGTGATAGAGAGAAACAAGTGATCATGGAAATGTTAAGAAATATGGGTTATTTTGTTTTATTGTTTATTAAGGGTAGATTTGTCTTTTCATTATTTCCTTTGTTTAGCCTATATATATCTCTTTGTATTTAGGTTAAATCATACTTTTTGTATTCAATTGAATTGTGCAATATCAATGAAACCCTAGCCTCCTCTTTTTATTATTTTCTTTGGATTGTTTAACATGGTATCAGAGCAAAGTTTCATGGGACGAGGCTTAATCTTAAACACAGCTTGCGCGGATCCAACTCCGCGGTGAGTTGGCTGGGGGTCTACAGGGGGCAGCGCGCCCCTGTCGGGGTTCGGGGCGGAGCCCCGAAAATTTTTGGAGAGGGTATTCGTTCAGTTTCTGCAATCTGATATTTCGTTGGTATTCATTCAATTTTGGCAATCTGGTATTTCGTTTTCCTTTCTTTTGCATTCTGGTTTCTTTGTTTCTTTTAATATGGCTACTGAAAGAGACGATTCGCTTCAGTCTGTAAGTGTGAGGTTNCATCCCTTTATTAAGATACATGACAAGTTTGATAATAATTTTGAATGTCAAATGTTAAACAATGGAACTCACAAATAAGAGAAGCTGTGAGCAAATACCATGCATGCTAAACCAAGTCCTTCTCTTTCGCCAATGAAACAAAACGACATTGTTCAAAACAAAGCTTTTGCCCGGCTTTCCAATCCCAAATACTCACAAATGACCCAAACCCACATCATGAAATCCCCCTTTTGGCCTGATATCTTTGTTCAAACCACAATCAATTGGATTACAAGTATAAATGTTTGATGAAATGCCCGGCACCGATGTTGCGCTGTGTAATACAATGCTTGTGGGGTTTCCCCTAAAAGGTAAGTAAAATTTAGCCGCTTTTTAGATCAAATTAGTTACTGTTGGATTGCTTGACACACAAGAAACAAGTAAAATCAGATTAAGAAAGTAAATTAAGATGTCCATTTAGGAAACGAAGTGTTAGTAAGATGATATAGTAAACCTAATTAGGATAGGATTGGGACAATGAGAATGGTCACAGCTTCACATCATCTTTATCTCAACCGATTTTCAAAATTAAAATGTTGGTGATGAAGTAGTGAGGGGAACAAACATCCCACATTTTAGGAGGGTATCAGAGATTGCCATGCAACCAACGGGTGGATTCTTCCAGGAGAAGTTTCCTGGAACCCTCAAAGGAAGTTGAGTCGCATAAACACTAGTTATGCCCTCAACATCCTCAGCCCCAATTGAGGAGCGTGGTTCCTTTCAGGGCCTATGGACTGGGGATTTCTTTCATGGAGAAGTCTTCATAGAAGCATGGTCAGAGAAGCCCGCAACATCGGGGTTTGAGCTCTGCACAATGAGGTCCTTAGAAACCTCGAGGACCATTTCCCTGTGAATGGTTGAGGTCACGGGAGAATCAAACATGCAGTCTATATTATGGCTGCTTGATGAAGACATGGTGAGCCTCTGGATACTTGAAACAGAAGCAACCAAGTGTCAAAGCTCGAAAATTCAGCAACCTATCCACACTTTGCTTTCAGTTTAGGCACCTAAGGTAGCTCGCGTCGGTTAGCAGAAACAAGCGAGCTATCAGGATTTCGGCGACTGTCACCATAAACTCTCCTTAAACCCAGAATCAATGGAAACACTCAAAAAACCCTAGAAAAGCCCTAAAAAATCTTAATGTGGCCACGACAATGGCTACCCTAAACAGCAAAAGACGTAAAAACAAGTAAAGGAAGTCTTACCAAAGTGCAAAAGTGGAAGATATTTGCCAGAAAAAGCCGTGAAGTTGAGAGAATAGCGACGGAGCAAAAGCAAACAAGGTTTGAGAATTTTTTGCAAAGCGTGTAGGTTTCTAACCAAGTTGCCCGCTTTTATAGTGGTGTGTGTAGGAGATGAATAGGTGGGATTCAACCGTAACTGTCGATCTATAGTAAATCTCAACCCTCCATTCGTCGAGCAATCTTGACCATTTGATGTGGCCACGTGTCAATCATCCAGAGGCTCAAGCAACTGTCAGACTACTGTAATCATAACCGTTGCCGCACGTCACCTCGACTTCGCGCGTGGACAGTTGTAGTCGCCCACGCATGAAAAAAAGTAATTGAAAAAGTTAGCCGCATTTAATGCGACATGACTGCCTAGAAATTACTTGCATACCCTTCATTTCAAATTCCGAGTTTCTCGAGAATATCACAATAGAGAAAAGGCCAAGTGTTGATTACGTCGATCGAGAATGAGTCTGACTCATCTAGCTGGTTTAAAGTTGATGTCGTTGTTTGCAATGGAAAAGTAGAAGCATTGATGATGAATGAGCACTTCCTTGCCATGCCTGAGAGAACAGTTGTTTCATGAACAAATATGATTGCAGGTTGTGCTTTGAATATAGAGTTCATTGAAGCTTTGAAATTCGAGCAACCATCTCTTATTAATTTTAAAATAGCTGATTGGAAAGAGATATGGGAATTAACAGGGATAAGAACATTGACAATCTATCATTCTACCACTTTCTCCTGAAGGACTGGCTCCATATTGCTTCTTACAATCCTCAACACAGTTTTCCGGAAAGCAATCTCTTCCTGGTTTCATTATTGCTCCTTGACACTCAACAACATTCACCAAAGCCCAATTACTTGTTTTTAACTTGCATGATGCGTATATTGCTCTTTTTAAACAAATATGATTCCATAGAGACTCTTGGATGTATTATTCAAAAGGTCTTGAGTTCGAACTCCTTCTTAGTTGTTAATAGGGGTAGTCACCGTAAACTGACCCGAACACCACTGATCATCAAAAAATAAAAAAACATTTGATATGAGAATTAGTCCCATAATGTTATATACATTATATTTATACTGTGTTAATTATTACTTCGTGATTCCAGCCAAATGGAAGAAAATACTATTTCTTAACATCCTTTTATTAAGATACATGACAAGTTTGATAATAATTTTGAATGTCAAATGTTAAAAAATGGAACTCTCAAATAAGAGAAGCTGTGAGCAAATACCATGCATGCCCACCGAGTCGTTCTCTTTCGCCAAATGAAACAAAACGACATTGTTCAAAACAACTTCACCTTCCTCTTCATAGACAAAGCTTTGCCCGGTTCTCCAATCTCAAATACCCACATCATGAAATCCCCTTTTGGCCTGATATCTTTGTGCAAACCACAATGTTTGATATGCATTTTGGATTGCTTGACGCACAAGAAACAAGTAAAATCAGATTAAGAAAGTAAATTAAGATGTCCATTTAGGAAACGGAGTGTTAGTAAGATGAAATACGAAACCTAATTAGGATAGGATTGGGACAATGAGAATGGTCACAGCTTCACATCATCTTCGCCTCAACCGATTTTCAAAATTAATTTAACGGCTTTTTAATTTGAATTAGTTGCCGTTGTATTGCTTGATGTACAAGCAACCAGTAAAATCAGATTAGGAAAGCAAATTAAGATAATGTTAGTATCCATTTAGGAAAAGGAGTGTTATGAAATAGGAAACCTAATTAGAATAGGATTGGGACTACTAGTTATTGTAAATCCATAAACACTCTTCAACCCTTCGCTTACTATTATCTCTCTTTCCGCTCTTCATTTTCTTCGTCAGTTTTCTTCTACGTTCTTTGAGCAAATTCCATTGTGTGAGTGACTGATTGCGGAAAGCAAATAATCATGGAGAGAGAGTTGTTATGTTTGTGTGAATCCACCAAGAAAGCAGCCCTTGCTGCAGCCATGGACAGTGTCTCCTTTACAGGGCCAGAGGTGTCACGTTGCATAGACTTACTGAAGCGGCTCAAGGATTATCCAGTGACCGGCGAGGTTCTTGTTTCAACTGCGGTTGATAAGCAGCTCCGACATCTCAGACAGCATAAAAAAGAGAAGATTCGATCAATGGCTAAGTGGTTGTTGGAGATATGGAGCAAGAAGATCAAGGAGTATTCATCAAGAAACGGAGGTGAAAATTTATATATTGATTCTTCAAAGAAAACCCAACGAGTTGAATCGACTAAATCAACAATCCACCATCAGTACTCTTCAAGAAATAATGTAAAAGATGCAAAGTGTGAGACTGGTTTTAAAAAACTTGAAAAGACTGGTTTTAAGATGCAGACGAGTTCTAGAAAATTTGAAGAGACTGAGAAAAGAACTTGTGAGGGTGAGATTGGTTCCAGAAAAGTTGAAGAGGCAGAGAAAAAACCTTTGAAGTTTATCTTGAAGATCAAGATCAAACCATCAAAGGAACCTTGCAAATATTGTGAAGAAGAGCAGAAGGCATCAATCAAGTGTAACAATGCTTCACGTGACAAGGTTCGTGAAATTCTTCTAGAGGCGTTACGGAAAGTTGCTGGTGAAGTTGATGAAGAGACTAAAAAGCGGGTAAAGGCTTGTGACCCTGTTGGTGTTGCGGTGTCAACCGAAACTGAGATGTTTAAGAAGATGGGGCTGTACAACGGGGCTAACAAACTCAAATACAGATCAATTATGTTCAATATAAAGGATCCAAATAATCCAGACTTGAGAAGGAAGATTCTTTTGGGGGAGGTGAAGCCTGAGAGACTTATCAATATGAGTGTAGAAGAGATGGCAAGTGATAAAAGGCAGTGTGAGATTAGGAAGATAAAGAGAAAGCAGCTTTGAGGGAACAAATGGGTGAGGAAATATCAGAAGAAAAACAAGACTTTGATGAAGTAAAATGGTTGGAATCATTGTGGTGATTGTCATTGTAAATTGATCAGAGTGTACTGGTGTTTATGTAGTATTGATATATGACAAGTTATTAGTTTCTTTATAATCCTGGTATATCAGTTCTTAGTAATTCTTCTTTGGGAAATTACATGATTTGATTGCTGTAATTTTAAACATTAGCTTCCTGAGCTAAATTAGCAGTGGAACGTGTCGACTTCAAAATGAAAAATACATTTATTTAGTATTTGTTCATTATTTTTTTCTTTAACTTTCTTTAATTCGATGCTAATGGCTGTTACAATAAGCTGAACCACCTATTATTGCCGCTACTAGTAACTGGGACTATTCCAGGTTCTATGCTTGCAGATGCTGAGGCCTCTGTTTCTCAACAGGGAACAACTGTTTCATTTTCCATTGATTTCAGGTTTTGGCCAAAGTGTTGACTTTAATTTTGAAAATGGATTGACAATTATGCCTAATCTAATGTCGGTGTCTGAAATGCATGTATGCAAAATGTAAGTATTGTCCATATTGCTTCTTACAGTTTTCTGGGAAGCAATTCCCTCCTGGTTTCATTATTAGTGTTCCTTTACACTCTGCACCATTCACCACCATTTTCTCACTCCCTGCAATTAAGGAATTAACAAATTTCCACGACTTCATCATAAAAAACTTGACTAAAAACATAAATAAGAACATTAAAACTTACCTGTGGCAATCAAAACAAAAAGTAAAAAAGCACCAAACAAATGGAGGACTTTTTCATATTTTATCTCTTGCATAAAAGAACTAGCTAAATTGTTGTAGTGTGAGATAAGATAATAGTGAAATGTAATTGTTTGTGACTAATATCTATTATTAGGCCTACGATATTTTGATGGGAAAATTAATTAAATTCTTGAAGATTTTGTCAGCTGTTAAGGTTATATATATAATATTTACTAAAATTAAAATTAATTCGAAAACAAAAATCCTGACAACATTTATTTGTAGAGTAAGGTAAAGTATATAAATTATTCCCTAACAAATTGATGTAACAATCATATATATTTGACAAGTAATATCCTTCAATTATTTAATTTATTTTTAATTTAAAATACTCTGATAATTTTAAAACACGTCAATTTGAAAAATAATTGTACTTATGTGTACATCTTAAAAAAAAAAAAAAAGCGCTATTTTTCTTTTTTCAGGACTTTTCTTCCTTTTATTTACCATCATAAAGAAACACAAACACAACTTAAATAATCCCCCACGAGGAAAGTTTTATTTAATTAACTTTAAGAAAGATAATAATTAGTAGGTTAAAATTAACCTCAATAATTACAAATTAAAGAAGTAATATGGGGATTAACAGGGATAAGTACATTGACAATCTATCATTCTAACCCATTTTCCTGAAACATTGGATTTGGCTCCAAATAGCTTCTTACAATCCTCCATGCAGTTTTCTGGGAATCAATTTCTTCCAAGTTTCAGAATTGATTCTTTACATTCAGCAACATTTGCCAGTCCACCATTTTCTCACTTCCTGTAATCAAGAAAATTAATTACAACGATATATTAATCCATGAATGGAGCGAGGATTTTGTTTCAGTGGGGGGTATTGAGCAATATTTGATTTCAAATGACAAGAAGATCCCAAGATATTTGCACCAGAACTCTGATTTGCTGCAGATCATATCAGCAAGACTTTCTTGTTTTTATCCTTTTATATTTTGTTCCTATCTTAGCACGATTCTCGTGATTTTTGCTTAGATGATTGTATAAATTTATTGATGTACATGCCATAGAAAACATAGAATAAAAATCATTTCTTTTATTCTTCACTTTCTGAAATGGTATCAGAGCGAGAGTAAGTCTTCCGCCTTTATATTTAGTGATTTCTTGTTATCATGACTGATAATGATTTTAACAATCCTCTCTTTATGCACCACGGGGAAAATCCTGGTGCCAGTCTGGTTTCACAGCCCCAATTGATGGTGATGGTTATTATGTTTGGAAACGTTCAATTCTTTTGGCACTTGCTGCCAAAAACGAACATGGGTTTCTTGATGGGACTGTCCGCAGGCCAGCAAAAGAGGATCCTTCCTTTCGAGCATGGGGTCGTTGCAATACAATGATTCTCTCATAGCTATATCTAAACACCATGAACCTAAAAATTATCATGAAGCCTCTAGTTTACCTCAATGGCAGACTGCTATGGATTTAGAAATTAGAGCACTTGAGGAGAACAATACTTCGACACACTGATTTAAACACCAATTGGGTGTAAATGGGTGTACAAAATTAAACACAATGCTGATGGAAGTATAGAAAGATACAAAGCACGTTTGGTAGCTAAGGGATATACCCAGTGTGAAGGAATTGACTATTTTGAAACTTTTTCACCGGTTGTGAAAATGACAACAGTGCGCACTATCCTTGCTTTAGCAACAATTCATGATTGGTATCTTCATCATCTAGACGTTAATAATGTTTTTTTGCATGGTGAGTTGGATGAAGAAGTTTATATGGCTATGCCTCCCGGTTTTCATGCTATGAAACCATCACAAGTGTTAAAATTAAATAAGTCGCTCTATGGATTAAAGCAAGCTTCAAGAAAATGGTTTGCCAAATTTTCAAACACTTTATTGTCTAGTGGCTTTCAACAATCAATGGTAGACAGCCCATTGTTTATCAAAAGAGATGGTAACTTTTTTATTGCTTTATTGGTTTATGTAGATGACATCGTCTTAGTTTCAAATGACTCTCATCGAATTCAAGACTTCACTACATATTTGAATGCACAGTTCAAATTAAAGGACTTAGGTCCTTTGAAATATTTTCTTGGTTTGAAAATTTCTAGAGCCAAAAGGGGATTACTTTGTGTCAACGTAAATATACTTTGGAATTGTTAGAGGATACTGGTCTTCTTGCTTCCATACCTGCTAAATTCCCTATGGATACACAGATTAAATTGTCAAGATTGGATGGTGAATTACTTATAGACGCAACACAGTATCGAAGGTTAATTGGATGATTGTTGTATCTAACTATCACAAGGCTTGATTTGTCATATGCAGTTCAAACTCTTAGTCAATTTCTTGCTAAGCCTAGAAAACCACATTGGGATGCTGCTATAAGAGTTCTTCGGTACATCAAACTTGCTCCAGCACAAGGGCTATTTTATTCTCGTCAATCACAAGTGCATCTGAAAGGGTTTTCTGATTCAGATTGGGCAGGTTGCATTGACACAAGGCGATCAGTCACAGGGATATGTATTTTTCTTGGGAATTCTCTTATTTCATGGACATCGAAAAAGCAAAAGACTGTCTCTAGATCTTCTGCTGAAGCAAAATATAGAGCAATGGGTTCTACTGCATCTAAATTAGTATGGTTGCTACAACTACTTAGGGATTTATCAATTGAGCATTCTCAACCAGCACTCTTATTTTGTGATAATCAGGCTGCCCTTTATATTGCAGCAAATCCAGTTTATCATGAACATACAAAACACATTGAGGTAGACTTTCATTTCATTCGGGAGCTGATACAAAATGGTTCCATCAAAACTCTTCATGTTCGGACTGAGAATCAGTTGGCTGACATCTGCACCAAAGCGCTTGGTTATCGACCCTTTTCCTCTTTACTATCCAAGATGGGTGTTTACAACACAGTAGAAAAATTTTCCATGTTCAGTGTGGGCATGAGCCCCCACTCACCACATCGTATATGAGGTCGATGAGATTGTTGGATTAAGCATTTAAACATAACAGAAATAATTTCCCATCATTAAAAACTTCAAACAAACGCATTAACATTTATACATAGATCATATATAGATTTTTTTCTTTGATGCGAATAAAAAAATAAAAAAGAGTAGCAAACTACGTTAAAAACAAATAAAATTTAATATATACCTGAAGCAACGAGAACAAAAGTAAAAGCAACAAAGAGATTGAGGAATTTTTCATTTTCGTTTTTTCGTAATATTGAAGTGTAGGATTATAAGATTCGAGTGAATTGTGATTGGTGGTGAGTCCAGTGACTGATATTTATAATAAAGTGTAAGATATTTTGATGGGAAAGAATAATTAATTGTTGAAGATTTATTTGTTAAGATTTGATGCTATATATATATGGGAAGTAAAACATTCAATATTAATTTTTATCTCTCATATAGAAAATAATCTTGATAGTTTTGTAAATTTAAATCATTTCCTTTATGTGATAAAATACTTAAAAAGAACTGACTCTACATATATAGTAGTTTGTCATATAACTATATAAGGATCATACATATTCACTGTTCGATCTTTATATGTAAAGTATTATTTCAGTATAATAGGTGGATCCAATTGTATTCAAGCACGGCCCGATATAATTATATCAAGGCAATCCTAACTAGAGAATTTTCATATATATATTAATTTTGATATCAGTTATTGATGGAACCCCCCGCCAAAACAATCAATTCCACCTGCAAACAACTCCCAAAACACAAAGAACAAATAATAACTCCACAAGGAATCAAATATTATATTGAATTAAAGAAGAAAGACAAAGATGCAATTAACAAAAGACAGATAATTCCCATCAGTTCGAGGAGCTAAGGGCCTCACAAAAGTCCCTTAAAATATAACCTGCCTTTTAAGAGTTAACTCCCTCCTAATATACTATTCCTCCCCAATATTATTCCACTCTAACGAACTATATTCCCTTAACACGAGGACAGCCTATAAAAATTATAACAACCCTCACTACATCACACTCCCAGCACCCCTTTTACCTTTGTGCCCCTCAGCTAGTAAACTTTACTAACTGGAGGTCTATCAATACTCCCCCCCTGAAGAGCCACCTTGTCCTCAAGGTGAAAAAGTGGATACTAGATATCAATGATATCATATGACTCCCAAGTTGCTTTGAAAGGTGCGAGGTCCTTTCATTGGATAAGGACTTCCTTAGACCCATCCATTAAGGTGCAGACTGCCAAGACTCCCTCCGGTTGGACAAGTGTTCTAAGTCCTTGGATAGGAAGGGAGGAAGTGGTTGAATTGGAATTGAACTATGCAAGCTGGGTTTCAATTGAGAGACATGAAAAAGGTGATGGATTCGGGCTGTCAGAGGTAAATCCAATCGACAGGCAACCTGCCCAATTTGTTCCAAAATTGGAAACATAAAACCTTGGACTTAGCTTCTCATTCACTTGAACCGGTATGGTTGAAGCTTGAGGAAAACTTGATCCCCTAGTTGGAAGGTGACTTCACGTCGGTGCAAGTCGACTTCTGCCTTCATATGTCCCTGGGCCATGGCCAGATCGTGCTTTAGTTCATCCAAAATTGAGTTTCGCTCCCGCATTTGCTAATTTACCGCTTACACTAAGGATGGGTAGTTCATAAACTTGAGGACAGTGGGAGGATCCCTTTCATATAATGCCTTGAAAGGTGTCATTTTGGTTGAGTGGTGGAAGGTGGTGTTGTACCAATAATGTACCACTGTTTGGGTTGGTAACTACAAAAACACCTTAAATATGACTCCAAGCAACGGTTGACGACCTCAGTCTGCCCATCAATTTGAGGATGGTACGTAGAGCTAAACTTTAAGCTGGTTCCCATGCCTTTAAAAAGCTCTTGCCAAAACTGATTGATAAATACCCTATCCCTATCAGATACAATAGACTTGGGAAATCCATGCAAATTCACAATAGTGTTCACAAACACAGCAGCTATGTCCTTAGCATTATATGGGTGAATGAAATGGTTGTACTTAGTAAGTCTATCAACCACCACCAAGACTGTGTCATACCCTTTAGCTCTAAGCAACTCATCAATGAAATCCATGCTAACCTCATTAAAAACTTGATAAGGAATAGGTAAAGGTTGTAGTAGCCCGCTCGTTTGAGGGCTAAATGCTTGTTTAGTTGGCAGACTGTACATTTTTGCAGAAACAGTTGAACATCTTTCTTAATCCCTTCCCAAAAAACAGTATTGGATATCCTCTTTTAAGTTCTAAAAAAACCCGAATGACCTCTACTTGAGCTACTGTGGAATTCTACCAGAAATTTGGGGATGAGTTTAGAAGTTCGAGGGACCACTAACCTATCTTTATAGAGGAGATAGTAGTTGTGAATACGATAGTGAGGATGGCTGGAGGAATCCAGTAGTAAATCTTGCATGATGGATTTTAATTTAGGATCATGCTGCACCTCAAATACTAAATCATCCAACTCTGAAAATTAAACCATAGAAAAAGCTACCAACTTAGCTTCCTCTTTTTTCTTGGACAAGGCATCAGCCACTTGGTTGGAAGTGCCAGGTTGGTAATGGATTTCAAAGGAGAACCCCATGAGTTTTGAGATCCATTTATGTTGCTCTGGAGTTTTCACCCACTAATCTGTCAAGAACTACAGACTTCGTTGGTCGGTTTTGATAATAAACTTGCATCCGATTAAATAGTGGCTCCATTTGTGGACCGCGAACACTATGGCCATGAACTCCCGCTCGTAAACCGACTTCTGCTTGGATTGACTAGAGAAGGCTTTATTGAGAAAAGCAATGGGGAGCGATTTTTACACCAGGATAGCCCCCATCCCTAACCCAAAGGCATCGGTGTGAATTTCAAAGGGCAAGTTAAAATTGGGCACTGCCAAGATAGGTACCATTGTCATTGCGGTTTTTAGAACCTCAAATGCTTGTTGTGCCTGGTCATTCCACTTGAAGGAGTCCTTTCTAATGAGTTGTGTTAATGGTTGTGCTATCATCCCATATCCTTTCACAAAATGCCTATAATAACCCGTCAACCCCAAAAATCCTCTCAAATTCTTGATGGTTCGCTGAATAGGCCAAGATAACATTGCCTCAAGCTTCTGTGGGTCAGCCTCTACACCTCTAGATGAAATCAAATGGCTTAAATATTCCAACCTTTGTTGCCCAAACAAATATTTCTTCCAATTGACCACTAATTTATTCTCAACTAGTATCTTGAAGGTTTGTTTAAGGTGCTCTAGATTGGTGTATAAATCAAGGCTGTACACTAGAATATCATAAAAAAAATAAAAAATAAAAAAAACTAGTATAAACTTCCTCAAAACCAACTTAAAGATGGTATTCATGAGTGTTTCAAAGGTGGAAGGGGCATTGGTTAATCCAAATGGCATAACCAGGAATTCATAATGCCTCTCATGGGTCTTAAAGGTTGTTTTGGCTATGTCCTCCTCCCTTACCCTAATCTGGTGGTAGCCTGATTTCACATCCAATTTTGTGAACACTGTTGCCCCTACCAACTCATCTAAAAGTTCCTCAATTGAAGGAACAGGGAATTTATCCGGCATGGTCAGGTTATTTAAAGCCCTATTGTCTACACAGAAGTGGCAATTACCATATTTTTTCTTCACCAATAAAACCAGGCTGGCAAACAGACTAGTGCTAGGTTGAATAATCCTGGAATCCAACATTTCTACAACTAGCCTCTCCATCTCGTTCTTTTGGAAGTAGGGGTATTAGTAGGGTCGTATGTTAAGGGGTTTGGAGTTGTCCAGTAAGGTTATGGCATGGTCTGTAGGGTGTTTGGGGGGGAAGTTTGGTAGTCTGTTGGAAAAGATGGCTAAAGTCTTCCACAACAATAGCAACTTTCGATTCAATTGCTTCCTCTTTTTCCACAACCCTGTCTTCTATAGAACAAGATTCTACCACATATCCAGTGTCCTCGATTTGTAATGACTTCAACATGGTTTTTAAAGACATTACTGATTTTACCAGTGAAGGGTCCCCTTGCAACACCACCCTTTTCTCCTCATTGACGAAAGCCATAGTTAGATTCCCTGAGCCTTAACGTTTTATCGGTTGTTATCCCTACAATGGAATTCATTGATAAGGTGAGAAGGGTACCTTCCTTAAGTGGTGCATCATCCAGCTCCTGCACGTCTTTCTCTTTTTCGATATCATCGTTGTCATCCAGAACTAGTAAGATCTGGAGTGATTCTCTTGCAACAGTGATTAGGTCCAAACTTCTCGTCACAGTAGAACAAAGTGTTCTGTCCCGTTTAAATTGAACCTCAGCTTTGGATAGCCGTCGAAATCCGTCACTTCTAGACGGAGTTGCCGTAATTTCTGTAGACTTACCTCCCATTTCCCAATTTCAATTTTGAGCTCCCGTGAATGGTACCAACTCAGTGTTCTTTGGTGGAGTCCTCCACCAATTTGGGTGACTCAAATCTAGGTTGGAGGATACCTGGTTGTAAGATTCAAGTCTGTGGGTCTGGGCTCTACCAAATCTAGATCGGGTTTTCTCTAAAACCCATAGGCTTGTTCAATTAGCTCCACTAATGCTTTGGGCTTATTCAACCTCAACTCGGCCCTTACCTCCTCTTTAAGACCATTCATGAAAATCCCCATGAGCAACTTCTCTCCAAACTCTTTCAACGGAGCAGTGTGAGCTTTGAACTCTTCCCAAAACTCAGTCACCGTAACCGTTTGTTTCAAGCCCACCAGCGCCTTATAGGCCGTCCCTTGGAAAGACGAACGAAACCTGGCAATCAGGGCTGTTTTAAAAGCTCCCTAGGAGTGAAAAGGTGTCTGAGATTTTGCCTACTGATACCAGTTCAGGGCCCTTCCCTTCATGCACACAATGACAACCTCCACCATCTCCTCCTCTTTGTATCGATTGATGCTAAAATAGCAATTTGCCTTGAAAGTCCACCCATAAGAATCATCATCACTGAATATTGGCAGTCCCAGCTTCTTAATCCTCCTATCATCTTTCCCTATCTCAACACCGTTTTTGATTTGATTATGCCCACTGTTCTTGTCGTCGTTCTGACTCTCCGATGATGATGTTTTCCTTGTCTCGCGATTTCGCGCCTCATCTCATTCCTCTCTCAATCGCATCAGCTCACGCATCTCAAGTAGGTATTCCTTCACACTTCCTAAGTCTTGCTTCATAGATCCAACTTCCTTTTCTAGGCTGTCAATTCTACTCTCCATTCTAGTATTTACCATTAGCTAACCGAGCTCTGACACCAAATTGATGGAACTCCATGCCAAAATAGTCAATTCCACCTGCAAACAATTCCCAGGACACAAAGAACCAATAACAACTCCCCAAGGAATCAAATATTATATTGAATTAAGGAAGAAAGACAAAGATGCAATTAACAAAAGATAGATAATTCCCAACAGTTCGAGGAGCTGGGGACCTCCCAAAAGTCCTTTAAAATATAACCTGCCTTTTAAGAATTAACTCCCTCCTAATATATTGTTCCTCCCCAATATTATTCCCCTCTAACAAACTATATTCCCTTAACATGTGGACAACCTATAACAATTATAACAACCTAATTATAACAACCCTTACTACATCACAATCCCAACACCCTTTTTACCCTTGTGCCCCCTCAGCTAGTAAACTTTACTTACCGAAGGTCTATCAGTCATTCTCTAGTCAAGACATTTTTATATTATTTTATTAAGATCATACTCAATCCCGTTAGATTCAACTCATTGGACTGATATGATATTTTACAATTCAGATCTAATATATTATATATACATGCATGGTCAGTGGCGAACCCAAGACTTCTGCGGGGCCCCGAGAGGGGGGGGGGGGGGGGGGGGGGGGGGGGGGGGGGGGGGGGGGGGGGGGGGGGGGGCTGCTCCAGGGCTCTGCCAATTATTTGCCAAACAACTAGTAAAAACTTTAAAAAATCACCAAACCTTAAACAAAGAAAATAATACAATATCAAAAACTTGAAAGAAAAGAATGCAATAACACATTGTTTACCTACTTGAATAAATCTATGAGAAGCAAAATTTTGAGTAAATGTGTTGAGTAAATCTTGAGCAAAACCTTCTTTTAATTTTTGGCTTCCAAAGATTACAATATAATTTTTCATGATTTTGATCAGACTTAGCCTAACTTAAAGTCAATCAGAACTTAAATCAAGTCAACGTTGTGTTAACTTTTATTATGAATTAATAAAAAAGAGGGAATTTTATTGGTATAATCATAGATAGTAACTCAAATTTCTTTAATAATTTTGAGCAGTTGAACAATGACGTTTGAGATGTAGGAAAGTGGTGAGTGAAGAGTGAAGAATAACGTCCTTTAAAATATAGTTAAGGTTTTAATTCAGAAAGCAGGAACATTCTTAGACATGAAACACAAAATAAACTTCAAGATTCTTGTCTTTTCCCCTCAAATTAGAAAAAAAAATATAATCGATTTTCACGTACCAAGTTAGTATAAAACCTTCCTTTTCGATGAAATCAATTAGACAGAAAAAAAATAAAAAAAAAAAAAAAAAAAAAAAAAACCTCCAAAAAACAAGCACTGAAATAAATTAAATTGAAATGAGCAACACATACCTAAAACTAATAAATAGAAAACAGAACTAATTGTGGCACCTTGAGTAGTAAAAGCTTCAATAATTTTAGTCTTCAAAAGTTTTAAGAACGAATAGCATGAGCAAGAGAATGAGAGAGTAAAGAATTTTAGGGATAAAATCATAAAAAGCAAGTGAAGTTCTCATTTTAAAAAAATCTAAGCATAGGCATGGATATGTATATTAATCGCAATTTTTTGTAGGCCTATATATTAGTAATTTTTTTTTTTTTAAATATGAGGCATACCTCAAAGGGGCTAGATCCACCCCTATGCATGGTCCTGACAAATTATTATTAGGACGTATTGACTAGAAATTGTTCTATATGTATTAGTAAAGTAATATAACTTTTACAAATTATTTAAATTAAAAGTTTTCAATGAAACATTCACGATGGTCATAGTCTACTCTTATAAGTCAAATTTCTATATATATTTCCTTTTGTGATGAAATATTTTTATTTAATGAAGTTCAATTTTATTTGAAATATTTATATTTAAACTTTAACAAAGAGTATATTTCATTTTTTTCAATTAAACTTCTTTTTTAATGATATCCGTTTAATAATATGGGTTAATTACATTGTAGTCCCTAAAGTTTTAGTCCCAAAAACTTGTATGCAAAATGTAGAAGTATTGTCCATGTTGCTTCTTACAGTTTTCTGGGAAGCAATTTCTTCCTGGTTTCATTATTACTGTTCCTTAACACTCTGCACCATTCACCACCATTTTCTCACTCCCTGCAATTAAGGAATTAACAAATTTCCACAACTTCATCATAAAAAACTTTACTAGAAACATAAATAAGAACATTAAAACTTACCTGTGGCAATCAAAACAAAAAGTACAAAAGCACCAAACAGGAGGAATTCTTCATATTTTATCTCTTGCATGAAAGAACTAGCTAAATTGTTGTAGTGCGAGATAAGATAATAGTGAAATGTGATTGTTTGTGACAATATTTATAATTAGGTCTGTGATATTTTGATGGGAAAAATAATTAAATTCTTGAAGATTTTGTCAGTTGTTAAAGTTAAGTTATATATATATATTGGATTGTCTTTAACATGTGACTTTAGAGCATATATTAAGGACACTTAAAGACCAAATATTTATTTTTAATTATTTTAGTTTAAAATCTCCTTCAATTATTTTAATTTATTTTTAATTTAAAATCCTTCGATAATCTTAAAACACGTCTATTTTTATAAGAAAGTTTGTATAAAATATTTGTACTTATTTATACATCTTTTAAAAAAAAAAAAAAGTGCTAATTTTATTTTTTTCAGTATTATTCTTCCTTTTATTTACCATCATAAAGGCACACAAACACAAATTAAATAATCTCCCTCGAAGCAAGTTTTATTTAATTAATTTTAAGATAGTAATTAGTAGGTTAAAATTAACCTCCATAATTACAAATTAAAGAAGTAATATGGGGATTAACAGGGATAAGTACATTGACAATCTATCATTCTAACACATTTTCCTGAAACATTGGATTTGGCTCCAAATAGCTTCTTACAATCCTCCACGCAGTTTTCTGGGAAGCAATTTCTTCCAGGTTTCAGAATTGATCCTTTACATTCAGCACCATTCGCCACCATTTGCTCACTTCCTGTAATCAAGAAAATTAGTTTTTGTTTCTTTAATGCGAATAAAAAATTAAAAAAGAGTAGAGAACTATGTTAAAAACAAATAAAATTTAATATATACCTGTAGCAACGAGAACAAAAAGTAAAAGCAACAAAGAGATTGAGGAATTTTTTTTTTTTTTTTTTTTCGTAATATTGAAGTGTAGGATAAGATTATAGTGAATTGTGTTTGGTGGTGAATCTCGTGACTGATACTTATAATAAAGTCTAAGGTATTTTGATGGGAAAGTGTAGATGCAAAAAATCTACTGTCATGAAAATAGAGTCTGATCCCGTGAGGTTGAGGTCACTAACAATCCGCTAGACCTGCACCCATGAAAGGACGAGCGTGAAGCTTACAGAAAACACCAGGGTGGTGTTTGCCGTAGGCACTTCGACGCTCAAGTCAGCAAGGCTGAAAGAGATTATTCGATAAGAATTAAGGAGATGAAGAATTACTAGGAGTCTTGTCAGAGGCTAGGACTATAGCGGAGGCGTCGGGTTCTTGAGAGCAAGAACTTCAAGAGCAAATAGATGGTTTTGAGTAGTGTAGATTGACTATGGGAGATTCCCCCCTTAATGAGAGAGCAGACCTTTGTTTTTATAGTGAACCGAAGGAGTTGGAATCCTAGTAGAACACTAAGTCCTATTTTAGGAGATAATCCCTATCAGGAAAGAAATATGATTTTTTGACTTTATCAGATTAAGTTTAATAGTTTAAGTAAGATTTGGAATCTTAGTAGAAGAGGAAACATAATGGGATTCTGATTTCCTATTTATGGACTATTGCAGGCTAATGGGCTGAAACTCAGTTTAGCTTAACTTATAAGATAGCCCAACTCATAGAGTGGATAGTTCACAAGGTGATTTTTAGCGTAGGCCCAATCGGGATTGGGCTGAGACCTTGAGCCGTGACATGTTTATTTCGTTATTGGGCCTTGCCAGACTTGAGACTATTTTTTGCCCTAACAGTTAGCCCTCCACTCTCTAAGTTAAAGAGTATTTAGCTTGGAGAGTGGATTTAATCAAATGAGTGCAGATTGAGCGGATTATTGATAGCAGCTCGTTAGGTTGGATGGACCGTTGTGTGGATTGGGTTGATGACTTGTTAATTTG